GGGGGGGGAATATTAAACATGAGACTATTAAATTTTATGTACCGAATTAATAAACCATAATTGGTTGACTGCATGTTTAATTCTATGTCATAGAATGACCATTACATTTACGTCATAATTCTACATCATACCTTGGGTTATACTATACGTCATAACCATGGTTATCAATTTAAATTTTCACTTGTGTTGTTAAGAAGTTGCATTTTAAATGCAGGTTTATTTTACATTCCAATGTTCCAATGACCTATAATCAACTAACGCGTGTTTATGCCCGTTCCTATCCACTTCACAGTTTCAGATAACTCACATGTCTAGTTACCACTCTTCTGATAATGTACGCATAGAATGGAACAAAGGCAACCAAGCATTTACATTGTATAAACAAACAAACAAATAAGTCCCCCCGTGGGGACATTGGTAACCAAGTATTGCTTCGGTGTCTAAACAAGTTTTGATCTAGTATAACTAGAAGTATAATTCTAATTTTTAATCTAGTCTCTCTGCAAATTTAATGTTTTCTATTCTACAGGGTGTATAAAAAAAAACTGAACAGATTTAAAATTGCTCTCAATTTCGCAAAACAGCTATTTGTATCTGGTTTTTTATTATATAGCTTCTTTGGGTACTTATAATGTAAAATAATGAAAAAAATTTCTCGAACTCAAATTTTGTGAACCAGGGGGGTGCGTCTTTTCCAACAAACTAAAAATGGCTCGCGCACAAAATTTAAAAGCTGCAATCATATTTTGAGTTAACAGATGGAAAATATGTCGGGATTTTAATTACTGTACAAAATTTCAGACAATTTGGTTTAGTTTAAGCCCCTTAACTATTCACGCAAAGTTACAATTTTCCCGAAAAATCAGCTATTTGCATGCTTAATTAATTAATGCATTTGCCTAATTTGCATATGTCAGCAATATGCAAATTAGGTAAAGGCATTAATTAAGCATGCGAAAGGCTGACTTTTTAGAACAAAATGAATAGTTAAAGGGCTTAAACTAAACCAAATTGTCTGAAATTTTGTACAGTAATTAAAAACCCGATTAATGAAAAATATGATTACAGCTTTTAAATTTTGTGCGCGAGCCATTTTTAATTTGTTGGAAAAGACACACCCCCCTGGTTCACAAAATTTGAGTTCGAGAATTTTTTTTCATTATTTTACATTAGAAGTACCCAAAGAAGCTATATATATAAAAACCCAGATACAAGTAGGTGTTTTGCGAAATTGAGAGCAATTTCAAATCTGTTCAGTTTTTTTTTATACACCCTGTATATGTACCATTATTGGTAGCTCTGTTTGAATAAAGTATATTTAGAGTAAATTGGGTAGGATAGCTCACATGTCTAAGTTACCATGATTGTTCTGACAATGTTAGCATAGAATGGAACAAAGGCAACCAATTCATATTTTCAGATAACTCACATGCCTAGTTACCACTGTTCTGATACGTAAGTATAGAATGGAACAAAGGTAACCAAGCATTTAAATTATATATGTGAGTGAATTGGGTGGGATAACTCACATGCCTAGTTTGTACCACTGTTCTGATAAGCATTTAAATTATGTATGTGAGTGAATTGGGTGGGATAACTCGCATGCCTAGTTATAGTAAAGGTAACCAAGCATTTAAGTTATGTACTGTATGTGAGTGAATTGGGTGCATGGGATAACTCACATGCCTATGTTTAGTATGTTACCACTGTTCTGGTAATGTAAGCATAAAATGGAACAAAGGTAACCAAACATTTCAACTATATTTGTGAGTGAATTGAGTGGCATCAGACATAAACATACGTTAGGGATTTGGGCAGTTGGATAAATACCACTGATTTCAAAGGATTTACTGTCATTTTACTCATTTCTTTGATCTGTTAATGGCAGCATGTTTAGGTGGTGATGTCTTTTCCAGGAGGCTACGAAAACAACAAAAATTGTTATAGTTACATCAGGGGTAGAATACTAGAATAGTGGACCAATTAGAAAATATCCCGGAAGGGTAAATTTTTCTTGCAAGAATGTTTTATGATGTACAAGCTGTGCAGGATTTTTTCCTATATATTTCTGTATATTGCATGTAGTTGCAGAAATTCTTTTTGTCTCCCTAAATACTTGCACGAATTTTTGTTTTCAAATTTCACTTCAGACCGGTTTGATCAATTTTTTGTCCCAGTCTCATGTAAACATCTATTGGGCTATTCCATTTAATACCCGTACCCCACCTGTCGAGGATACATGTTTGTCATAGTTATACCTTTGAAGAATTCCAAGCGCAAAACCTTTTACCGCTGAAGAATTCCAAAATTCCAAGCTCAAAACTGTTTACCCCTGAAGAATTCCACGCTCAAAACCCTTCTCCCATGACGAATTCCAAGCTCAAAATCCTTTGCCCCAGAAGAATTCCAAGCTCTGAAACATTTCCAATCACAAAGCTCTTTACCTCTGAAGAATTACAAGCTCAAAACCCTAAACTTACCCTTGAAGAGTTCCAAGCTCAAAACCCTTTACCCTTGAAGAATTCCAAGCTCAAAACCTCTTACCCTTAAAGAATTCCAAGCTCAAAACCCTTTACCCTTGAAGAATTCCAAGCTCAAAACCCTTTACCCTTGAATAATTCCAAGCTCAAAACCCTTCATCCTTAACGAATTCCAAACTCAAAACCCTTTACCCCTAAAGAATTCCAAGGCCAAAACCCTTTACCCATAAAGAATTCCAGGGATCCTCGACAGGGGGGGTACGAATATTAAATGGAATAGCCCATTATAAATAACACTCTGACCGAAATGAAACCGTCCCGGTTAGTATGAGGAAACCTAATCTAAACTAACTTATACTGTCTGGATATCTGTATCAGTTCTGAACTGTTCTCTCTAGAGGTCCATGCTTTGTTATATGTAATCCACCATACCTTTATAAATACATGCGAAGGTATCATATTTCTGACCACCATGTCAATATCGCCTTGGTAGCGAGGTACACTTAGATGTAACCTTGGCAACGTGACGTAACCAGGTGATAGTGGGAACAGTTTGTAGTTTAATGTATGACGAGCTGACGGGAGAATACTGAAATGAATCTGAAACAAAATTGGCGACACAGTATTTAGTACATGTGCTGTTCAACTCTGTGATCGTGGTTTGATTTCTGTAATATGAAGTAGTCTGAGATCGCCCCACCATCATTTCCCAAAAATCTCTGAAAGATGATCTAAGTTGTAATAAGGTTTTTCAACCATGAAAGTAGACTTCCCTAAGTTACACACGCAAAAATCTCACAACTTCTCAACAAGATGTGTTCGCAACAGGCAAGTATTGCTTGTCAACAAGTTGTAACAATGTTGCCATTTTATCAAGTTACTACAAGGTTGTCATTCACAACTTGTTGAATTGCAGGACGATAACAAGTTGTTGGAACAACTTGTAGCAAGTCTGTTGAGTTCAACAACAAGCCGTTGAAAACTTGTCAACAAACTCGAAACAAGCAGTGCGAACATATCCAGTTGACAAGTTGTTGGAACAGCATTGCTACAAGTCTGCTGCAGGTTTGTTACAACTTGAGCGTTTTTACGTATGTACAGCGAGAGTTTTCAGCCCTGTTTCCCGGGCTGACATTTCAGCCCGGCGCAAGGATAAAATCCTATTGAAACACAGAAAGCGATTACATGACAGAAATTTCAGCCCGGGATGAGTTTCAGCCCGGTGGACTGGGCTGAAAATCGTCATTTAATCGACGGGAAATTTCACCTCTATTTTTACATGCAACCACAGTCTCGTAGAAGTCAAATAATAGACGTGAACAGCATTTTAAATTCTTCGAAGAAGCGGAATACCTCCATTTTGAGACTTGATCGTTTCACCCCAGTGTCACGGGAAATTTGCCCCCCCCCCAAAAAAAAAAATGGGGCCAAATTTCCTAGGAAATCTCCCAGGTTTGAACTGAAATTTAAACTTGGCCCGGGCTGAAACCTGCCATGTATAATCAGCCCCTTAATTTGCATATATAGTTGATTGTTTATGCAAGACCGATGTCGAGTCATGACCTTTACACTGATATTTAATATTTTATTACAAAGCAATACGTGGCAAGCAAACTAAAGCGACTTATGCGGAAGTGCTTAAAACCGATCATTTACTTGAATTTTTCAACTAATTCTTTACATAAACGAACTTTGACTATTTGATATTTATATGGCAGTTTATATGACGAAGTTTCTATACGACCAACTGGCCGAAGTGTAACTTAATTTTAAATTACGGAAGGGAAACAGCAAGCAAATATGACCTCACATCAACACGGCAACGCAAGAGGCAACAAAAGACGTCGTAAACACCACAACGAAAGCGAAGTGTATGAATCAAGAAATTCGAAATGTGACAACTGTAAGGAAATGCTCAAGATCATGATTGACTTGAACAAAAATGTGGAAAAACTGGGTGAAAATTACGAAGCGTTAGATCATAAAATGCGGGGTTTAAAACGAACAGTGACAGACGTTAAGGATGGATTAGATGACTGGAAGGAGGAAGTACTCGATAGAATAGAAGGCATCGAAAGAAAGCAAGAGAAACTAGCGAGTTATATCAGAGAAAAAAAGAGGAAAGTTGAGAAAAATCAGAATATCATTGTTTTTGGTGGAAATCGAGGCACCACAGTTGAAGTGTTCGACTGGCGTCAAAAATCGTGGTCTTTATTACGACCCGTAAACGACTCGTGTTTTGACGCATGGGCACATGTGTACAACCACTCCATTATAGCAGGGGGTTTCGAGTCTAGTCCCGTTATGGAGTTAACTGTCGACCCTTTCCCCGATCTTGCAACACGCTGGAGTGAATTTTCCAGCCAAATGCTTCCACTACCAGAAATGACTGGCCAAGGCTCTGTTTTGTACAAGGATAGCTTGTTTCTTATAGGAGGTGTGAATCAAGACCAGGGCGTATACTCTGACTGTATTCACGAAGTCCAACTTAAACCACCTTACACTGTTAAACTGGTGTCCAAGATGCCCAAAGTAGCAATATCTCCCGGGACAGTATTAGTCGATGATAGTATAGTAATCCTAGGGGGGACTGAAACCGGCTACCCTCGTGACAATCTTGATAGTGTTTTGTTGTTTGATATCAAAACGAAACGGTGCAAACAATTGGAACCGCTTCCCGATACAGTAACTGAAATGGCAACAGTCAAGTGGGGTGACAACGTCGCGGTTATTGGTGGACTTGACCGTTTTAATACAGAACTGGATACAGTAATGATGTATGACATTGAATCCGGCAACAGTTATTATTTGCCTCCCATGTTACACAAGAGACGGGGTTGTAAGGCAGTTGTTATTGAGAATGCAATTGTAGTAATAGGAGGCATGGACGATATGTTGGAAGATCTGAAGTCAGTGGAATATTTTAGCTTTCATACTAACACATGGCAAGAACTGCCAGAAATGTACGAAGCGAGATGGTTGGCTACAGCTGTTGTAGTGTGAACAAACTAGAGTTTATTAATGTATTAAATAACTACAGTGTACAACGCCTCTAAAGAGCCTAATCTGATTTAAGTACTAGAGTACTTAAATGCCCATACAGATCAGTAAATGAATGATATTTGGTGAGAAAATTGAACTTAACGTCTATGTAAATCAGCATGATTCTGTATCAGATGTACAAACTCCTTCACGCTCACGATTTCTTTTGCGTTTTCTTCATGAATTATAAATGAGTTTCACAATTCAAAATACAGGGCAGGTTGCAGAGATAAAAGGCGCATGTCCCAACCAGAGGGTCGCTAAAAGTATACTGTATCAAAGTACGTAAATCATTATTAAAGCAGCTAACCTCTTTACTTCCTGTAAACATGAAGTGTTCACTCTGCTCAATTTTTGCCTCAATTTCTTGCACAGTCGCCGTCTTGTTGAACAAAGTATAAGACAAGGGCAACGCAGTACGGACTGTCCCGTAAGACGGTAGTTCTAGAAAAATCAACAAATGCATTTATTAAAGCTCTATCGGTTCTAAAGTGCGTTTCCCAACTTCCCCTGAAGATTCAGTAAGGGAAAGCCCTTACTAGTCCTGCTGTGTTACAAAATAAACCAGACCTATAACTCTAGACTTTAGATATTTAAGTTAACGCTCAGCTCCCTTGAAGTTCTTATTTAACGTTCTTATTTAACGTTCAGCTCCCCTGAAGACCCGCCTCTTATTGGCCCAGTATATTACTACACGAGGAAACCTAAATTAAACTTATTTATACTGGATAGATAGCTCTACCAGTTCCAAATTCGCCTTCCTAAAAGCAAGGGAGGATTTTCATTTTTTTAAAGGAGCGGTGGTAAAAACTCAAGTGGGGTGCAAGCGGCACCACTGAGTGAGCTTCGGCAGGGGTTAGGCGTTAGGGTTAAAGACTTTCACACAAAATAGGAGGGACGAAGCGAAATTTTGGTGGGGTTGAACACTTTATAAGAGGGGTTAAAGAGATTCCAGGGGGGGAAAGCATTCTTCTTAGATGTCGGGCAAATGTACAATCATACAAACAGGGGAGGAAAAATATTTTAGTGTCTGGGACCGCAAGAGAACATTGGAAATTTTCTGCAAACAATTAAGTAAATTGACACTCAGACACTGTAACTGTGTGATCTTGCCAAACTGAATGTCATGCTATATTTTAACAGGAAAAAAATAATTTCAGTGCCCTGAGAATCTTTATAATACTTTCAGGAATATAACATAAAACTAATTTAGATAACATGCATCAAAAACCCGGCCACTAGCTACCAGGGGGATCCATGCTCAATCAGAAAATTTTGAAAACCTGGCGTCTCAGATTGGCTAAAAATGTATTTGCCATACAACACTTGTTACATTATTCTACAATCTATACATTTACACAATATCACACTATTATGATGGATGCACTTATAATAATTATTGCATTTTGGTCTGAAGCCATACCCATAACATTCTTTCTATTAGGTCTTTTATCTATTAAATTTTTACAATTATGTTTTTTTCTTTCTTGGGGAAATATTTTCTGGGAACTCAAAAAGAATTTCTGGGTCCAATACTTTTTCCAGCCCTGCAGACAACTACATACTGCAGAATTAAAGCCTTGGTAAAAGAAGTGAGACACACATAAATGTTAGATTGTGTCACTAACATCCCAACCTTGTGAGTAATTGCATGGTAACAAATAAATTAATTATCAGTGTATTTATTAATTAATTAATTTATTAATAATTAATTTAATTATTAACTAATTAATAAATCAATTAATAATCATATACCTGTATGGATAGATAGGGGTACTTTCTCGATGGTTGTTGAAGGTAGATCCACATCTGTCACGACTGATGGTAACTCAGAACTTTGCTCAACTCTAAAACGTGTTTGAATAAAACTAACATTTATATTATTTTGCCACAATAATAATGATGGGATCAGTAAGTCCAGGGTATTAGATGGTGTGACCCTTGAGAAATTATGACACTTATAGGAGCAACATAGGAGGACTATCACACATAATGGGATTCTAACGACTGGAGATTGACCACCAGCTGCTAAAACCCACGAATTAACAGTAAAAAAATCCTTTATTAAGCAAAAATCTGTAGATGACATTAGGGCCATTTATACGGGACAAAATAAGTCGCGTCTTACATAAGACGCGTCTTATATAAGCTGAGTTATCGCATAAATGGTTCTCTACGGATTTATTCTTATTTACTTGCTATAGCTATAATGTTGTTTCGGTTGTTTTTGTTCGAATAAGCAAGGCTAATAATTTTACGTTGTTTCAAGTTTCGGGCATGTGTAGTTAGAATTTTTGTCTAAGATTTCTTATTTAAGACGCGACTTAAATAAGAACAGCTAAAAGTCCTGTTCTTATGTAAGACGCGTCTTATCCAAGACGCGTCTTACATAAAAATTTTGTACCTTTTATACGACAAACTCGCGTCTTATTTAAGTCGCGTCTTATGTAAGTCGCGTCTTATTTTGTCCCGTATAAATGGCCCTATTATCTACGTACCTCCTCCATTCAATGTGAAGCTGACCAAGATGAACAGATCGAGATACACTATCAGACGTTTTACTGACGAGACAAAAACAATCCGATGCAGATTCATCATTCTCTAAAGAAACTGTAAAAGAAATTTTGGAAGGATGGTTTTAATGGCAGTACTAAGGTGTAGCGTCCATTAGATATTTTTGGGACTTAGGAAACAATTCTGGCAATCGTACTGTTCAGACATCTTCTGACAAACTTACAATCTAACATCCTCCTACCAGCGGCTATGCCAGGGCTGTTTATGTAAAATATTGTCGTATTTTCCTCAGTGAGAATGCCCCTTGCCTCGGCCAATGCTTATGACCAGCGCCCGATAGACTGTACATCTATCTCTGAAGGTAACAAGAGGAAATCATTATATCTGTACAATACTGTACCTCCAGATAACTGCGATTCACTTTCATCGTCTTCAAATTGAATTTCATCTGACTAAAATAAAATAAAATAAAATAAATAAACAAATACACCAATACAGAGGGAACGTTTTAGACGATAAAACTTACTTCGTAATTGTCAAACTAAAGCCCGTTTTCCACTCACATATTTCGCCGCCGCTGGCAAAAAATTTTGACAAAGAAATCATTTTTTTACATTCATTCACTGCTGAAGAAATTTGTTCTCTTGCTACAGTTGCTTAAAATTTTCAACTTCTGTTTGACCTTTCGTCGACGGCGCGAAAGAACAACAAATGAACTTTTTCGGGGGTGAAATTTTTCGCCAGCGGCGGCGAAATACGTGAGTGGAAAACGGGCTTAAGGAAACAAGAAGCAACTTACCAACTGTAGTTTACTGGAGATGACAGTCAATGGCCAAGGTGAGGAACACTTGATGTTGACCAACAACATAAATAGTTCTCCTTCATGGATTTTATCCAGCCTGAAAAATTCCTGAATAGAAAGACAGTCCAGGGTCAGATCTACCGTGGAGGTACAGGGGTTGCGCACCAGATCTAGTGGTGTCTAGCACTTCTAGAGAAGTCCTGCACCATGCGCCCCTCCCCCTAAAAATTTGCTTGACTATACATTTTCTGCTTTTCAAATAACGATTAGCAGAATTTCTACTGTTAGCGTGTGTCGATTTCTTGAAACGATTTAATTGATTTGTGAGCTCACAAGAAAATACTCAGAATGCTTTGGTTAAATATCTTGGTCCAGTCATGCATACGTGATAAAAAGCCGATATGAACTTTGTAAACAAAAGATAATGTAAAACGGCGAACACGCACATTCGGCCATCTCCAATAATGGTAATTTGGGATAGTAGCGTTGCAGACTGCACGGGAGAGTGTGCAGTAAGGCTCTCTCATGCACCACCCCATGGAAAACCTGCACCCCTACTTGCAAATGAGGCTAGATCCGCCCCTGGAATAGTTTATAGTATACATGGAAAGAGCTGTTCGATCTTGAAATAACTACATCAACACGTAAAATTACAATGTAATGACATAAAATTACATTTTTGGTTCCGTCAATTATAAATGTCTGACACTGGCATACCTTAGTGACAAGCGAACATGTAGTTTTGAATGGTTGAATGCTATCTAGGCTTGTTGTCACAACCTTGAAAAATAGACCGAGAAATTAAGTATGGTTACATCATGCAGAGGTAGTACATGTTCTTGAATGTGAGCTACCTGAAAGTGATCTGATGTTGCACAGATCTCACTGCTGAATTAAGTATGGTTACATCATGCAGAGGTAGTACATGTTCTTGAATGTGAGCTACCTGAAAGTGATCTGATGTTGTACAGAACTCACTGCTGAGTTAAGTATGGTTACATCATGCAGAGGTAGTACATGTTCTTGAATGTGAGCTACCTGAAAGTGATCTGATGTTGTACAGAACTCATGCAGTGCTGGGTTAAACATGGTTAGATCACGCAGAGGTACAGTAGTACACATTTTTTATTGTGAGCTACCTTAAAATAATCTGATGTTGTACCGAATTCGCTGTTGAATTAAGCATGGTTAGATCATGCAAAGATAGTGCAATGTGGATCATCTTAAAGTAATCCGATGTTGCACAGAACTCGCTGGCGAGTTAATAAGGGCTAGATTCTACCGAAGTAGTACATGCTCTAGATACAGAGCTGAAATCAATTAGTGATTTGAAGAATTTTAAGACGAAACTTAAGACAATTCTTATTGAGAAGCGATGTCCTTCTTTTTAACTTTTTTAACTCATAAACCATAATATATAATTTAATTTTAGTTCACGTAATAACTTTGATAAGATTGTTGTAAATATATATAGTTGATAACTAATAATTTCTTTTAAAATCCATGTAAATTGTCATTGAAAATCCCATTTTAGGGAATGTCAATTAATAAATTCAATTCAATGTTCTTCAATCTGAACTATACTCTACTGAACTATACTCTAAATAATCCACTATTCTCTGCGGCATTGACAATACCTTGGAACATACACACTTCACGACATGACCAGATGTGCCAACGGTGACCGACACTTCGTAAACAACCTAATAAAATATTCTATTTAAGAATACCTCTTCATATACAAACTTTGTAACTCTAAATCTGTAAAAAACTCAGCTAACCTTTGCAGCGAGAACAGTTTTACCAGCCTGAGATGTCTTGACATAAAGCTCACGCTCGATCTAGAAGAAGTACAAGTAAATAAAGTACTATTTAAAACACGAGGAGTTTAGTACAAGTAAATAAAGTACTATTTAAAACACGAGACAGATATATCAGAGTGTCTTGTATCTGAAAAGCATGCACTGTGAGTGTTTTGAATGACTCATCTTATGAGTTCATTGGCGAAGAAATTTTAAAAATCAACGTTGTCTAAGCCGAGAAAATCAAAGCTAAAGTTTATGTAAATTAACATGATTTTTTATCACATATAAAACCACCGAGGTAGTGATTTCCTTTGTCTTTTCCAAAGTTATTTAACCAGGAAACAATCTTTAATGTGAGCGTTTGGCAGAAACTGTAAAAGACATTGGATTACAAATTTTTGATGATCAGTTCATCTATCATCATTGATATATAAAATCAAGGAAAAATATAAACGTTCAAGGATAGGAATACAATCAACCTTATCAGAAATTTCCGGAACATCAAACGCCAGGGAATGCTTTTCGTCACTTTCAAAATTTGCCTTGTCCAAGCTCATCCAAACTAAAAGCAAGACAAAAGGTTTAAAAATGTCTACGAAATAACTTTCTTATTGATATTTGTTAAGTATTTTGTCGATAACTAAAAAATATAATACAGTAAGTTACCCAGTTCGGATCTTGTTGTACTTGTTTCAGTATTTATTCCAATTTCGACCCTGAAAAAGTTTGAACATAAAGAAAACGCAAAAATATTGAAGATATAGAAGTACATTATACGCATGTTAAAAATGAAAAACTTGGTCGGAGTCTACAAAAGCCTGCAGTCAAAGACATTATATGGAACTGGAGATTAAGGGAACAGAGGACGATGCACAGATCTAAATATGAACGAACATGACAAGGGACAAAGAGGATGATTAAGGTGGCTCGATACAGTTTTCGAAACTTCAGGTGTATAATAGTTTGATAGTTTTTAGGTTTTATGCAGCAGATGACAGGATGTTTATCTATTATGATTTCTATAATAACGTTAAGAATTCATGCGCTTTCATTGGTCGAAAGCCATGATCTACATATTAGAGGACAGACGCACGGAATTACGTCACACAAAACCTTATCCAATACGCGTGATAATTGTAAAATTTCGATTTTTCCAAATTTCCAAATGTTTGGGTGGATAAAAAGTAAGTTTTTATTTTTCTATTTTTATATATTTTTTGATGTCACATTATGCCACATGATGACGTCATACTGTGTATCTAACTGAACAGACAACAGCAAAATGACAAAATCTTATCTATTTGTTCAATTTCGTCTTTCACTTTATGTCGAGTTTGGTAACACATAGTTCGTTACTATGGCAACACACGTGTACGAAATTCACTCTAAAATAGCCTATTGCTTTGTATAGTTAGAAAAGCACGATGACCCCATATTTTACCTACAACTTTGACAAACAATAAGCAAAATAAAAAACTCTATAATGCCAGTTTTTAAATTAAAACCCCCCGCAAAAATGTCGTTTTCTTTGATAAAAAATTTTGGCGTTACAGAATTGTTGTATTTTTTTGTATATTGAAAGTCTTTTGCAATACAATACAGTGTGCAAAACTTCAGCATAGGTCACCGCACGAAATAATGAGATATATAGCGCACTGTTTTTCAAAAATTGGCATTTCTAATGACATCAGAAATTGACGTGTAATGCGTTATAAAACATGTACGTCAGGTCATACATGAAAGGCCTTTTCTTTTTTTCTTTTATGTAAGGCCTTTTCTTAATATTCCGGAGACACGAATGGTCACGTGGGTTTGTTCGTATGGCATAACGTTTTGTTTAAGCGATTCGATCTTTAAAATAGATTAATATACTGCATATATCGAGTCACCTTAAGAAGAATCCAAGCCGCGGCAACCCTCTGTCAGCCTCAGGGACTAGAAAATGTGGATTGAAGTGTAATCTTACTTGACGTTTGAAACTGTTGTTTCTTCATGGTTTGTTAATCGTAATTTCAGTGGATAGATCTCGTCTATCAATGAAGGTTGGTCATGCTCGAAAGCGATTTCCACCATCGGCTCGCGTGGAATGACACTGAAATGATTTGAATAAGCACTGTAAAAGTCATTACATAAACGTTATTCGGCCTGGTCGCTGAATTATTTTGAAAACGGGTGTAAAACGGTATTTATTATTGCGAGCCTTAGCATGGTCCAAACCAAGTCAAGGCCAATTTATAGGCCAGCTCATGACAATTTGTTGTTTTTAATAAGCAAATATAGCCGACCACCGACCACTATAATCCACACCAACTTCCTACCTCAACTTCGACAAAATACGTAGTCGGTTCCATTCCCCTGCGTCATTGTTCGCAATCTCCTCATTGTGGCTACTGAGGTTAAGAAGTGTCGAGTCAGCATTATTAGCGATACTGCCACCTCCACCACTCCACACCAGGACAGCACAACACACCTGCCTCGAGCCTTGTTCCAGTACCACTTGTGTGACCTACAGTACATAGTAAATGAAAAATATACATTATTAGCAAATACTCGGGAGGTGCATAGTGCTTTTCACGCAATTTGATTGGTTCCTCAGCCTTGGATATCCTTGCACTTGATACCCATCCGGACAAAAACAAAATGGCTTCCCGTTTCGTAAAACAAAAACAAAGTTTTGTACTAAACGAAGCTTCGGTGTCGCAAAACAAAAATTTTGTTTAACAGTGTGTAGAAGTACTTTTTTAAGCTACAGCTAGTAGGTGCCAAAAGAATGAGTCCAGTCCCAAAATTTTAAGTTTGGCAAAATGCAGGAGATACACAAGTGTCTCCTAAATTAAAAAAATATTCAGTTTAAGTCGGATGTATATAAATCAATCGTAAATAAACGCCATCCGAAAGAAAACGATCAGCAAAACAACACTAAGGAGATTGGCTGCAAGTGGGCTCAAAGGAAGAGCTGCAGTTTCTAAACCGTTGCTGCGTCCTATAAATAAGCGCAAGAGATTGTTATGAGCCAAAAAGTACTAACTCAATTAGCCTTTCTCACGCCACCATTTTTGGGGTACTGGGAGAGAGCACTGTGGAGCACTCAGAGACTGCATATACCTCCGCCAGTTAATTAAGTCAAGATATTATGCATAAATTATACAATGGACAGATGGGCTAAATACGCATTTCATTTCATTCTGCTCGGAAAAGCAAGACAACAATTTTGTTAATTTTTCATCCAATTTTCATCCAAATGCCCATCAGTAGTCCCACAAATTTTCGTGTTAATCCCCGAACCACGCGCGGGGCTCATATAGGGCGAAGTCCGCGCCAAGATATACTTATTCCGCACGGCTATTTACACCTGGGAAAAGGAAAAGGTGGGGTGGTTGGAAATATGAAAATAATTTTCGCTCAAAATTTGCATCAACAAGAACCATCCAAAGGCGCCCTCCACTTACTAAAGTCCTTCAAAACGACAAAATATGTCATTATTTTAATTTAAACATGACTGTGTATATATACGACAACAGGAGATACACAAGTGCCTCCTAAATTAAGATATTCAGTTTAATTAAAATATTCAGTCGGATGTATACAAAAAGGCAGACGAATATATAATTATAAGAAACGGACAGTAATGTGCATCCATGCATGACAATTAAGACTTTAATATGCAAAAAAGTGATACTATTAGCGTCGTATTTTTGTGCGTTATAAATATAATCTTTATGGTTGCAGGAATATTCCTTTCGAAGTTGTGACGACCTCCATAGACTGATTATAACCACAGTTATAATCAGTCTATGGAGGTCGTCACAACTTCGAAAGCAGTTATGCTACTTTATGATTCTTGTATTATCTTGTTTTGATCTGGCTGTAGTCACCATCACTCATCCACTCTTGATCGTATCTACAATTTATTTTTCCCAAGGAGACATTGATGAAAGAAACAAGTACATAGGGAAATCGATATTTTTTGTTGTTTGTGGTTCCTCGATGTTTGCGCTTTTTACGCTGAATGTTGAACGATTCCTAGCCCTAACACGTCCATTTTTCCATCAAGCGTCAGTCACAAAAACAAGGCTTCTATGTTTTCAGGCATTTTGGACGGTTATAACAGTCGGTATATCGCCATTGCTATATTTTAATTTGAAAATAATTTTCGATATTTTTGGAACTGTAACTGCATCATCCCTCCTATTCTTGTTCATTTATTCAAATTACAAAATTTTTATAATCGCGAAGTCAAAACGCGAGGACGAAAGGGTTGCTCCAACTACAGCGACGGATGAAAATAGGAAAACACGAATCTTGAATCTCAAACATATTTCTACGTGTTCTTTGGCAGTTGGCTGTTTTTTCTGTTGTTTCTGCCCGTACATTATATACGCAGCTTTAGGTTTAGCATCAAGAACGTTGTTGTCTGAAGGGCATTTTTTGTTATTTAGTCTGTGGTCAAGCACGTTTGTATCCTTGAACTCGACATTCAACTGTGTCATATTTTTCTGGAGAAACTCAATTCTGCGTCGAGAAGGAATGAAGATAGTAAACACTTTCCGACGACGCGTTACTAACTGAATAGCTATTGACAATTTATCCGGGCATTGTTATTCAAAGGTATATCGGTCAAACGCAGAACGAGAGTTGCATGCGAGTTGACTGGATGTGACCGCGCGCGCGTAGCATAAACTCTCATCAACTCTTAGCAAGATTTGAACCAGCTTAAAGTTGACGAGAGTCGATGAAAGTTGAAACTCTCATTAACCACCATCTTTGTTTGATCGAGGCTTAAAGCCCGGTTCACACTTTGTATTTCTGAAGGATGCAAATGAGTGAACTCTCACACAAAAATATAGAGTCGCTTTTCAGAAGTAAACAATTCTAAGTCTTTTGCATATCATTCATTCGATCACATTTGCCAGGAGGAGAAAAATCGCCGACAGAATTGCTAGTGTGAACCAGGCAGCAAGTTTTCTTCTCTCTTTTCAGTAAAATTTATGGGGGACTATATTGGTATCACAGTAGTAAGTGTACCCAATATGTGCCTTCCATCTCTGTACATGACGAAGTTCGAATCCTGCACCACGCATGAAAACAAACACTGCACGTTATCTCCAAGTATACTCCGGCTTCCTCCTGCAGTAACACTGGGTCAATAAGAGATGATCCTTACTGGACCTCTGGGGAGAACAATTTAAAACTGTTAGATGATCGAACAAAAATACACGACGAGATTTATTGTGCAGGTAGATCCTCGGTGGGAAACAATAGAGTATTTAAGTATGATAGTGATTCAGAATATTATGTTATTCGAGGCATTCTCTTCGCCATTACACTTGGCAAGAAACTTTAAAATGATAATTATATTTAACTATATATAAACAGTTTTTTTGTTTTTTTTTCTGTGTTGGTGTTGTGTACTCATGCAGGTGATGATGTTTGTGATGTTACTCTAAGTGTATATCCACACCGGACGAGCTCCAAAAATATGATTCAGATCATTATGTTATTCGAGGCATTCTCTTCGCCATTACACTTGGCAAGAAACTTTAAAATGATAATTATATTTAACTATATATGAACAGTTTTCTGGTTTTTTTCTGTGTTGGTGTTGTGTACTCAGGTGAATATGATGTTTGTGATGTTACTCTGAGTGTACATCCACACCAGACGCGTGTACACTCAGAGTAACATCACAAACATCATATAAACAGTTGTCGTATTATACTGGAATGTGCCCGACAAATTTGGCAATAAAAATATGTTAATATCACTAGAATATTTAACAATTATTCGCCGAAGGCGGTTATTATCGGGGAATATTCGCCGAGACGAATTCGAGGTGAATATTCCCCGATAATCACCGAGCCTGAGGCGAATAATTGTTTTAGTACTTTTACACAAGTCTTTTGTGTTTTTTTTGGTACTGAATTTATTTTAACTCGCTTATTTCTTTATCAGTAACTTCCACAAAACGGCTAGCCGCCATTTTGAAAATTTCGGTTTCGTTATATTCACCTGTAGGTGAATATAACAGCTTGATACGTCAAATTTGACCTATCAACTTGTAAGATTGTTCACTTGTGCAAAAATACTAAACATGCTTGATACTCGCCACATAATTTAGAGGGTGTAAATATTTTAGATTAAAATTTTTGAAATTGATTAGGGTTAGGTGAATGATTATGTTTAAGATTCAATGTCAAAGTCTATATTAAATTTATGCTTTAAGGATTAAGTATTAACTAGGGACCACTCAGAGACTGCATATACCTCCGCCAGTTAATTAAGTCAAGATATTATGCATAAATTATACAATGGACAGATGGGCTAAATATGTATTTCAGTTCATTCTGCCCGGGAAACCAAGACAAGAATTTTGTTAATTTCTCATCCAAATCGAAAATTTTTTTAATTAATTTGCCCTTGGCCTGTGCCCATTAATCCCACAAATTTTCGTGTTAATCCCCGAACCACGCGCGGGACACATAGGGCGAAGTCCACGCCAAGAGTATACTAATTCCGCACGGCTATTTACACCCGCGAAAAGGAAAAGGTGGGGTGGTTGAAACACCGAGGTCGCAGCTACTTCCAATCAGGTGTAAAATATGTATATAATTTTCGCTCAAAATTTGCATTACACTAAAGTCCTTCAAAACGACAAAATATGCCATTATTTTGCTTCGAACATGTGTATATATGACAACATGTAAAATAAAATTTGCATTACACTAAAGTCCTTCAAAACGACAAAATATGTCATTGTTTTGCTTCGAACATGTGTATATATGACAACATGTAAAATATTCAGTTTAAGTCGGATGTATATAAACGGCAGACGAATATATAATTATAAGAAGAAACGGACAGTAATGTGCATCCATGCATGACAATTAAGACTTTAATATGCAAGAAAGTGATATTTTTAGCGTCGTATTTCTGTGCATTATAAATATAATCTTTATGGTTGCAGGAATATTCCTAAATTCTGTCGTCATAATCAGTCTAAGGAGGTCGTCACAACTTCGAAAGAAACTATGCTACTTTATGATTCTTGTATTATCTTGTTTTGATCTGGCTGTAGTCGGCATCACTCATCCACTCTACATCGTATCTACAATTTATTTTTCCCAAGGAGAAATTAATGAAACACGCGACTACACAAGGGAATCCATATGTTTTGCTGTTTGTGGTTCCTCGTTATTTGCGCTTTTTACGCTGAATGTTGAACGATTCCTAGCCCTGACCCGTCCATTTTTCCATCAAGCATCAGTCACAAAAACAAGGCTTCTATGTTTTCAGGCATTTTGGACGGTTATATTCGGTATATCGCCATTGGCATACTTTAATTGGGAAATAATTATCGATATTTTTGGAACTGGAACTGCATTATCCCTCCTATTCTTGTTCATTTATTCAAATTACAAAATTTTTATAATCGCGAAGTCAAAACGCGCGGACGAAAGTGTTACTCCAACTACAGTGATGGATGAAAACAGGAAAACACGAATCTTAAATCTCAAACATATTTCTACGTGTTCTTTGGCAGTTGGCTGTTTTTTCTGTTGTTTCTGCCCGTACACTATATATGCAGCTCTACGTTTAGCATCGCCGTTGTCTGAGAGACAATTTTTGTTATTTAGTCTGTGGTCAGGCACGTTTGTATCTTTGAACTCGACATTCAACTGTGTCATATTTTTCTGGAGAAACTCAATTCTGCGTCGAGAAGGAATGAAGACAGTAAACGCTTTCCGAAGACGCGTTACTAACTGAATAGCTATTGACAATCTATCCGGTATTGTTATTCAAAGGTATCGGTCAAACGAAGAATTGTTGAATGAGAGTTGACTGGATGTGACCGCGCGCGCGTAGCATAAACTCTCATCAACTCTTATCAAGATTTGAACCTGCTTTAAAGTTGACGAGAGTCGATGAAAGTTGAAACTCTCATTAACCATCATCTTTAAAGCCCAGTTCACACTTTGTATTTCTGAAGGATGCAAATGAGTGAACTCTCACACAAAAGTATAGAGTCGCTTTTCAAACGTAAACAATTCTAAGTTTTTTGCATATCATTCATTCAATCACATTTGCCAGGAGAAGAAAATCGCCGACAGAATTGCAAGTGTGAACCGGGCAGCAAGTTTCTTCTCTCTTTTCACTAAAATTTATCGGGGACTATATTGGTATCACAGTAGTAAGTGTACCCAATATGTACCTTCCATCTCTGTACATGACGAAGTTCGAATCCTGCACCACGCATGAAAACAAGCACTGCACTTTATCTCCAAGTATACTCCAGCTTCCTCCTGCAGTAACACTGGATCAATAAGAGATGATCCTTACTGGACCTCTAGGGAGAACAGTATAAAACTGTTAGAGCTATCCAGTGCAGAGTTAGTTTAGTTTGGATATCCTCCTGTATAGTAATTAAAACTGGAGTAATAAGAGATGATCCTTACTGGATCTCTAGGGAGAACAGTTTAGAACTGATAGAGCTATCCTATAAATAAAGTTAGTTTAGTTTAGGTTTATAACACTGGATCAATAAGAGATGTTCCTTACTCCAGCTTTAGGGAGAACAGTTTAGAACAGATAAAGCTACCCAGTACAGAGTTAGTTTAGCTTGGATTCCCTCCTGTAGTAACACTAGATTAATAAAAGATGACTCTTACTGGACCTCTAGGGAGAAAAGCTAAGAACGGATAGAGCTATCCAGTATTAATACAGTTAGTTTAGTTTAGGTTTCCTCCTGGACCCCTATGGAGAACAGTTTAGAACTGATAGGAAACATCCAACATCAATAAAATACTTGGAATAAAAAGCAGAGTTGATAAAAACCTCAATATGCTTGCCGACATCTTCAGGAAATGGAGTGAAAGTGAATGTGATCTTTTTTATCTTCTTCGGTTCCAGATACAGGTCGCCCTCTTCAGAGACGTCAGAATTGTTTGCACCGTTCACGACACACAAGGAGTTGTAATTCGGATTGTTGAATAATACAGACAGACTGTTGAAACGTATCGGAAATGGACAGGTCGTTCTGTTTTTGAAAGAAATAAAGAAAGTCAGACATCTCTATAATCAATATGATTGAGATGTTACCTTGCATAAATAAGTGTAAATAATATAGACAATTTTCTGAATTACAACTATACAGTAGTAGTCTAAGTGAATCAAATTACCTGAGATAAATATCTAGTGTGACATAGGAATCTGCAGATACGGACTGAGCACTGAATATAGCCTTGCATTCCACTGAAAAATGTAATGCAACAGGGTTTCATTAAACATTATCGTGCAGCAGATGGTAACAGGGTTTGTAACAGGTTTCATTAAACATTATCGTGCAGTTATCAGAGTGAGAAAATGATGCCATTAGACCTTTCCGGGAATTACGTTAAAACTTTCAACTTAGTGCCACCAGTAGTAGTGTATGTGGTTTTCGACCCTTAATTTTGGGGCGGCGCGGCGTGGGACGGCGCGGGGCGGCGTGGGGCGGCGCGGGGCGGCGTGGGGCGGCGCGGCGCATCATCCTTAGCATACGTCATAATTACATGCAATGACGTCACGCGGGTAGGATCAGACAAGTAATGACGTCACGCGGGCGAGCTTAAACACGATCGGGCGAAACTTGCTGACTACGCAATTTTTAGCGTCCCTCCTCATGTATGATACAATACAGGGATTAATGTTGGCTTACTATGAACTTTTATACAAGCGTCTGTATAAAATCGACAAGCGCCTTGTAACAAGCATCGTCTATATTTGTTCCACATCAGTCATGACGTGTCTACACGGTAAAACCACATCTTACAATTTATTGGAAGGAATATTTGCGAATGCAGTCGCACAAGAAGTTGAAAGACTTTGTGTGGAATCCTGTAATGGTTGTCAAGTCGGTCATCCTAGTCAAAGACAACATGACTGCCTCATGATGAACGAAAACGAACGATGGCAAATGTACGGTTTACAAGCGATCGAACGAGTGAATGGTAAGCGTATGGTTTGGAATGAATTCGCTGAGGCAATGAGGGTACTAAAACTGGCGGTTGATAGAGATGTACTCGAACATTTACAGCAACTGGAAAAAGATCCAGATTCTACATTTGTCGATTCATTGATGGAACTACATCAGAACACTGAGAACCACGAACTACAATGTATACTGAACTATTTGTTTCATTGGAGATTAGAAGACCCACTCGAGTCCGTAGCTGAAGCGTTTTTCTCTTACCCACCGAGTTACATGTATTATGTGAAGGCGACGGGTGAACGATTTAGAAGTTTTGAGGTAGATCATAAGAAAGCTTATCAAGAACTCATGGAGAAAAAACTTATAGAACAGTTTAACAAATAGTTTTAGTTGCAATATTTTTGACACTATCGTCTGTTATTTGTATCAATAAACATGTTTTAAGCTTTGCAAATTTGCGTTGTTATGCGTTGCTAAGTCATTAGGAGGCGTGCAGGTAATTAAGGGGATTAAGGCAATACGAATTTGCATAACTAAGAGTATCCCGATGGATAGATAGGGATTATTTTTAACGCAGGTGTATACCTTAAAATCAGGCGCGTGGCTTTGCGGGTACATGCATATATTAAAGTACAACATATTCGTACACGGATCTTTTCGCGCGGGCGGAAAGAGCGGGCTTTGCAGGTAAATGTTTGCACAATATTTCAGTTTTAGAATACATTTATTTCTTCAAAATGTTTTACAAAATTTAGTACGGTCTACTTCTAAGAGCGTAACGTCTAGGTGTTTTTGTTATTTTAAAGAGTTCTCATATTCTTCTCTATCTTCTGGGGATAACTTTGCAAGTTTTTCCGGCTTCATTGGAATATATTTCGGTCTATCGCTCAATATAAAACGTTCATAATCCTCTCTTGCTTCCGGAGTCATTCGCGCATTTTTGACAATAAATACTCGTTTTTAATCAAATCTTTATTAACCCCTGCTTCTACTAGACCTTTTGTAAACAGGTCGAGCCCTCGTGGTTCAGGAATGTGAGAGTTGTATGGTAAAAGTGCGTATTGTAAAAAGTTCTCGATGTTAGTACCAGGAATATGTCTCTTCCATGATAAACAATCTCACCCTGAGGATTCCAAGTTAAAATATCACTTGATATAAGAATAGAATGTAGCATTTTTTCTGCTGTAGTTTTTTTGAAATTATTGTTCAGATACAAAAGTATATCTTCAATGCGCCAATGTCGCGGAGATGTTTTACTCTCGATGTTCATTGTTGAAATGATGTATAATGTGTAGTCACAGGGCTTTTATACAAGTTCAGCCAGGCTTTCCAAAATAGGACTTTGTAATAGTCCAAGGAAACCTTCACCATGTTGAATGAGTATCCGTTTTTTTCTTCTACCACATTTCCCTCTATCTAGCAACCTAAGCATTTCATGTCTGTAAGGTCTGAGTCTCTTCTTTACATGCTTCGACATTAAATATTTTCTTTTCATAACGTTTTCTACACAGAGACACAGGCAGTGTACTTGCCCGGCGGTTGCTGTTTCCAGTAGTGCTTGTTGTTGATCAGGCTCAGACGTGCCCAACAATTCAAGAAATGGCTTGTGCCTTAGAAGATTGATCATTTCTGTTCGACGGTTTGGAAGCAAATGAGTAAAACACAACAATAAGGAAGCTTATATCGGAAGAGAGAAAGCAATTTAGACAAGGCTCCGAGCCTAAGGAGCTCGGAGCTGATCCCGAGCCATAAGGAGCTGGCTTCGAGCCTAAGGAGCTGGCTCCGAGCCCGAGGAGCTCGGCTCCGAACCTAAGGAGCTGGCTCCGAACATAAGGAGCTGGCTCCGAGCCTAAAGAACTGGCTCCGAGCCTAAGGAGCTGGCTCCGAGCCTAAAGAGCTCGGCTCCTTGGGCTTGGAGCTGACTCCGAGCCTAAGGTGCTGGCTCCGACCCTAAGGAGCTGCTCCGAACCTAAGGAGCTGGCGCCGAGCCTAAAGAGCTGGCTCCGAGCCTAAGGAGCTGGCTCCGAACCTAAGGAGCTGGCTCCGAGCCTAAGGAGCTGGCTCCGAGCCCAAGTAGCTGGCTCCGAGCCTAAAGAGCTGGCTCCAAGCCTAAGGAGCTCAGATCCTAAGGAGCTTGGGTCCGAGACTAGGGAGTTGGCTACGAGATACTAGTTATATAAACTCGGTTTCTATTTGAGAGATTTATTATCTAACTATTCGTCATAGAATAAACATGTCTCATTCGTGTCATATCTGTGGCAAATATTTCTCTAAACCATTCAATTTAAATCGACAGAAACAAAAAGTGCATGATCAAAAACCAACCGACAACATTCGCATGACGACTAATGGATCTGTAGTGTTGCAACACCCATTTACGTGCATCGTAGCTGGGTGTACCCAAAACGGCAAAACTGTATGGGTAAAATCTCTCTTGGAGAATGCACAGAAAACTATAAGTCCTGCTCCTCAACGTATCATTTGGTGTTATTGTCAATGGCAACCCTCCTATTTTGATATGATGAGAATGATGCCTGGAATCGAGTTTAATCAAGGCATCCCCGAAGACATCGACAACGCAGATTACTTGGACGTATCGCAACGGAATTTGATCGTATTGGACGACCTTATGGCTCAATCTGGCAAAGATAAACGTATTTCCGATCTTTTTACGAAAGGAAGTCATCATCGGAATTTATCTGTCATCTATATTGTTCAAAATATATTTCATCAAGGCAAAGAAATGAGAAATATCAGCCTAAACGCCCATTATATCGTGTTGTTCAAGTCACCAAGAGATAAACAACAAATTTCTATGCTTGCAAGGCAAATAAATCTCGGAAAAGTACAAGAATTTATGAGGAGTTATGAAGATGCTACGAGCCGACCTCACGGGTATTTGATGTTGGATTTAAAGCCAACAACAGATGATCAATAACGACTCAAGACCAACATACTTCCCGGTGAGATTGAAAATTTTATACAAAAACAGTCGTATCGACAACCACCACTTGTAAATGCCATGTATGATGCCGAGCAGCGAATGAAAGAAATCATGGATGCACCACAGCTTAGCGCAGTGGAAAAAAAGCAAATTATATTCGGATCAACTAAATCGGTTTCTCACATTCGAAAATAAGATGGATGTCCAAGCTCAAGCTCCTGTAAAAATATTGCATTGGGCAGTCGTCTTTCTTCCCATCTAACTCTCACCAGTGAGAACGAACATGTGTATAATTTAAGGAATTTTAAACAATTCGCTTCTTTTAAATGTAGAACTGATAGATTTGGTAATAGTTTTTTCCCTAGCATGATTAGTGTTTTAAACAAATAATTGTTCTTACTTATAAGTTCTTATTTAATAATCTAATGATATATTGTAATATAGTTACTTTTAGTATTGTAATTCCCATTCAAATCAATTGTAAAACACATTGTAATTCATTTTCATGCGATGATGTGTTATTAAAATACCATTATTATTATTATTATTATTATTATTATTATTATTATAAGAGGCTCAAACTCTCAAAGAACGCGGCGGCCTATAGGCGGCGGCAAACAGTTTATATTTGTAAACAGTCACAACAATAGATATTCGTATCGTCCTGTGGAGTGTAGTACAGTCATTTACGTTTAATATACTGGATTTAAAACATGATGAGAATGATTAAAAAGACGAGAAATATAACTAGATTCAAAATAACCAGTGATTTGCAAATAAAACATTGGCAAGTAATAAAAAGCGATATATCCGCACGACAACACCTGGCCTATAGCCAAGGTCAAAATATACCTATATTACTATATATGGCTATATTCGAACCATATGGCTCTAAATTATACAAATCTTGACAAATAAATCAAATTTTGTATCTCAACTACAAATTTTGAGGTTAATACGATAACTACAATGCGTGCCGATATAGAACTGATATTGAACAAAAACAGCAAAATCATGACACTAGCTGTAGTGACTGCATAGTTAATATTAAAACAGTATGAACTAGGCAAACTATTAAAAGTTTAAGTTAAATATTGCACTCTTAAGAGTAATGGCAATGTACGAACCCGTATTTTGCTGTAAACAATGTCATTTCAATAATAATATAAATAATATAGAACACTTGCAGAGCACTGACCCGCCATTTTGAATGCGAATTCTACCAGGCGCTTCCCGCCGAAATTTCCATTTTTCTCCCTCGCGTGCCGTCCCACGTGCGCTTAATGACGTAAACAAACCAAAGCGCATGGGTACGAGGCTGCTTCGATACTGTAATCTA